CTTTCTGATCGCACCTCGTATGTCCAAAATATCTCCAGTTTCGGATAATAATTTCTGTCTCTGTTTTTAATGTTTCAAATTTGTTTTCCAAATTTGCCTCTCATTCTTTTCACAACCTTCCAGAATCTATGATTATTTTCCCTATAGTTTTCCTCTAACTCATTCCCAAAGTCTTCCCATGTTCTTGTTTTAGCTTCTCTTACATCCTTTTGACTTCATTTCTGTTTCCTATATATTGCTGATGGTCATCATCTAATTTTCTATGGGTATATTTCTTCCATGCTTGTTTCTTCCTTTTGACACATTCCTTAACTTCTTCCGTCCACCATCTTGTGCGTTTTGTTCCAGTATTTATTTTCTTTTTTCCACATACTTCTTCTGCCACTTGCAGTATACTACATTTTATCTTCTCCCAGCGTTTCTCTAGTTTCCACTCTTCTCTGTCTTCTAATTCTTCTTTAGTTAGTTCATTCATCTTTTCAATCATCTTATTTTTATATTCTTCTTGTTTATTAGTTTTTCGAAGATTCTCTGTACCTATTTTCTCGTATCTTTTGCCCCTGCATTTCCTTGAAGTCTTTCTGAAACATTTATCCCCTATAATTAGTCTATGGTCCGTATTTAGTTCTGCACCTCGAATAACCTTCATATCATGAAATATATATCTTAATTCCTTTCCATATATGTATAATAGTCAGTTATACTTCTAGCTTCTCACACCTTGACCCTCAAATGTGATTTTGTGTATGTTCTTATGGATATAGAAAGTATTTCCATTAATCAAGTTGTTGTGTATACAGAACTCAATAAGTCTTTTTGCATTTTCATTTCTTATCTTTTCTCCATTATATTTGCCTATAGCTCCATGTCCAGTTCTTACAACGTTTCCTACCCAGCTACTTAGGTCTCCCATTATCAAAATTTTTCTTCTGCTCTCTGCTATATCATTTGCAACTCTTTGGAGATCAGTAAAGAATTGATCTTTTTCTATTATATCTGCATCTTCGGTTGGTGCGTATACTTGTACTCTAGATACTTGTTGCTGCATTTCTAGATCCATTATCATAATTCTAGAGTTTATTGGGTTCCAGTTGCTGACCTTCTTATCTACCTCTTCATCCACTATAATCCACAATCCCTCCTTTGCACGACTTCCCATTTCCACTCCGGGGTACCTAAGTGTGAATCCTTTATCCAAAAGTACTTCTCCACCTCCTTTTTTCTTAACTTCACTAATTCCAAATATATTGCCAACTTTTCGTTTCGTTGGACATTCAGTAGGACTCCTTGGACGAGGGATCTTCCCATCACAAGGCCTCTACCTGTACACAGGACAGCACATCACAGAAAAATGCGGACAAACATCCATGGCTTGACTGGGATTCGAACCCATGGTCCCAGCGACCAATTGGCACAAAGCCAACGCCTCAGACCGCGTGGCCACTGTGGACTCTGTATAAGTAAATATAGGTTATAAGTCTAAAAAGTAGTCTGATGATTAACGTGGTGGTGATGAAATCGCTTCTGCTACCATTTACCATTTTAGTAGGTTTACCGTTATTAATACATAATGAGCTTTCATGAAGGTGATGGGGTCAATACATCCCTATGCCAGACAGCCCTGGTCATGTGAGGGAAATACCACTACCCAATTCAAAAGGACTCGAGTCATAGTGACATATCTTATGTCTGATGAGGCACAAATACTGTTGTGAAAATTAAATCTATTTAGGTTTTGTTTTCATCAGTTAAATATATTATCATTTGTGAGTAACTGATAATGTTGAATTTCCTTTGAATCTTTTGAGCATGGAATGATGTCGTAGTACTGGGAGTGCGATGTATTTAGTCTTTTGGCCTTGGTTTTTTGCAGTGCTGGTTCCGTATTGTAGCTCTCCCCATCGTTGCTGAATTGGCTGGGGACAATGAGCAAACTCTTAGTGTCACCTCAGAGGTGATTCTTAATGCTGTGGGCTCCAGAGATCCGAATGAACCACATGATGCTAGAGATCACCTCATTTTCTCCTGGTCCTGCACCCCAGAATCAGCAGACGTCTGCAAGGATATGTCTAAATTCACAGGTAAATTAGTTAAAATGCCAGGAGACCTAAGTTTGTTAATTTTGGAATAATGAAGGTATTGGTGGCTGTGTGGTAGTGGCAGTAATTCACTTCAAATTTTTTTATTTATCCCCCCCCCCCTGTCAATAGCCAAATGGCCAATTGCAGATACAGCACAGTACAAATAATAACAAGTACAACAGTAAATATTAAATAATTAAATCTTCTGCCAGAAGATTTGGTTTGTTCATCATTCAGCCACCTGACGCTTCTCGTAGCCTGACATGAAAGCAACAGCATTAACACAAAATTATAAAGAAGCATACAGATTATGGAGAGAGAGAGAGATGTAAATCCAAATTTGAAGACAAACACATGCATAATTAGTGATAAACCAGAAAAATTATATCTTAAAAGAATAAATAAAATTACAGACATTGAAATTGGTGAGATAAAGGAAAATCTGAAGACATCGTACGCAGGATAATACAGGCATACCTCAGAGATTTTGCGGGTTCGTTTCCTGACCATCGCAATAAAGCGAGTCACACGAATTTTTTTGGTTTCGCAGTGCATATAAAAGTTATGTTTACACTATACTGTAGTCTATTAAGTGTGCAATAGCATTATGTCTAAAAAAATGCGAGGATTAGTAAAATGTGACAGAAACACGAAGTGAGCACATGCTGTTGGAAAAATGGCGACGATAGACTTGCTCGACAGAGGTTTGCCACAAACCTTCAATTTGTAAAAAACGCAATATTTGCGAAGTGTAATAAAACGAGGTGTGCCTGTACAGAAACCCCTATAAGAACAGACGGATGCACGAACGAAGAACACTTAAAGAAAAAAGATAGAAAAGGAATGTGCTACCATCAGAAACCTGAGGCCTGGTTGGTGCTGATCGCCATTCGTTCAAGAGGAACAGCACCAAGAAATCCTGTGAAGAAAAAAAAAACAGTAATGATGATTTTAATTGTAACAAGCCGATGGAAACACCAACAGGTCCAAACTTTTTACTGTGCGGCCAGGGCATGATGCTGACCACTCACCCCCGCGTAGTGCCGAGGTCAAGAATTAGTTATACCGCCTCTCCCCCTAAGCGCTTATATGGCGTGTAGTGGGACAGCTGTACTCTTACTTTATTACTTTGCATGTTCTGTTATCAGTGGTTGTGTACCGTATTGTTTCAATTAGGATTGAACCATTATTGCTAATACATCAGTGATGGATCACAACTTTCTTGAATATATTTCCTGAATCACTGAGGTTGAACAGTAAAAAATATATAATTTTGAAGTTGTTCATCATACAAAACTGATCGTGTCTCTGCATAATTATGGTCTCAACAGAATCATATTCACAAGTCCGACTCTTTTTACTGACAATAGCAGAACATAAATATTTCATTGAGAATTTTATTTTTCACATTTGCCCAAATTGATTTCTGTGGGAGATTTCAGCTTCCTTTGACATAAACTGCAAAAGGAAATGCTAATCCACATGCCACGTCAGAAATTTTTATTTAACAGAAATAAGTTACGTTGGAAGTTTTAAACTGTGGCTGAATGTGTTAATGGTTCTTTTTTTTCCAGGAAATTATAAAAGTGTAAAAATTCAGTATTCACATGTATTAATTAATTTCAACTGGACTTCTTTTTAAATGTTTGTGATATCCCGAATAGCAAATATCTTGAAATCTTACCACCGTGTTGCTTGTTGGCATTTCACTGACATTAACATACTTAACTAAGTACATGGTACGAGTTTTAAATAACTATTACTGAGCCATTATGGGCTGATTTTCTTATAGGTCAACAAGAACTAACACTGAAGCCTGGTGTTGGGGTTTTCAATTTTACTGTGACAGTAAGTGTTGATGAAAGCAATCCCCGTACAGTTGGCGAATTTCCAAATAAAATATTACCTGCTTCAGGCACTGCCTCTAAAGTAGTGCATGTCATCGGGGGAAAAAACACCAAGCTCTCCATAGAGTGAGTGTACTGTTTTGACCTAAAATTCATTCCTAGATTATTTAAAGAATTCTGTATTGTGTGCAAGTTTATGTGACAATGTATTTATGAATGGGAAGTAAGAAAACAATTGTCTCTTCCATAATTTTTGTGTACACGGTGAGGAAATCTTTAAACGTCTTAATCGTGACGGCAGTTCCCTGACCAGCATTGAAAGCGGGTACTTTCAAAATACAGATCACATACATCACAACTGAGCTAATTTGTTTGGTCCTCAGTATTAACCGTGCTTGGTTTTGTTCTTTTTTCTTCTCTCTGTCCCCCCCCCCTTTTTACATTGTACGGGAGAATTTAAGAATGTTGTTGGCATCTTTTTAAATATCGTTCCACAGATTCATCATCACTCCTTTGACACTTTGTCTCACCCTCTTTTTTACACATATTCTTACTCTCCTCATCTGTTTCGATGGGTTGCTTCAGATGCTGATGAGGGGGATGTTTTATTTATGCTTCTGAAATTTTAATTTTTCACTTTTGTCATCTCTGCTTTTATCATTGCTGGCCTTTGTATGCTCGTCTGCCAGTCTTGAACTGGACCACTCCGTGTTTTGAATTTGCTTCACTACTTTGCATGATGTGACAGTGTCATCTTTTGTCTTCTGCGATTATTATTTTGTTAGTAATTATATATGAGTTTTTTGGGTATTAAAGTAATGCATAAAATTATATGATTCTTGGTAATCAATTTTCTTGGTACGATTTGAGATTTTCACTGCATTGAGTCTGAAGATGTCTGTCTTCTGGGTTGTTGTACTGTGTAGTCTGGTAGGAGTTTACCAATATTTCACGTTTTAGAGTCCTTGCTGCAAGGACCTTCGAAACGTCGGTGTACTTATACCAGACTAGACGGCGTAACAACCCAGAAGACAGAAATCTTCAGACTCACCGCCGTGAAAATCTCAAATCCTCAGGCAGGTTATCAGCTATAGTAAATGTTTTCCTTAGTCACGTTCTTCAGTCTGTCAAGACCAATATCTGAATTGTCCTTTCGAGTAAGCCATGATTCTTCATCCATATCTAAATCCATGCCTGCGCACAATTCGTGTTGTCGTTTCATTTAATTGAAACGCTAAAGATGAAGTAACATCGTTCAGCAACGATTAATTGATAGGCCTGCTTTATTTATTTAATGATTCTTACCAGCTATCTAGTTTGTACAGTATCAAGTGGTACGGTGATTATGAATAGCAAATAAGAAACAATGAACGTCGAATGAAGCGACCGTGGCTTATTTTAAAGTAGTACTCCATAATTTGCCTGAAGACTGTATTAGAGCAACGAGAATCATCAGTCAACTTATAATCACTAAAATATGAACTGTTTTTTTTTTAAAATTATAAGTTTGTTAACAAAATATTTTGCATCCGCGGCCTGAAAATTAAGTAGAATTCTTGATTTCTGTATCGTCTGGTAACTTACTCCATGGAACAGAGAACTTTTCGAGAAGGTAACAGTACACTCAGGTGGTCAAAAAATTTCCTGCCTTTTACGAAACACGAGTGTTCATTGCCATGTTCACAAGAGCCCTCCAACAGTCAATGTCCTTGACCGTATCTATCCAGTCCACGTCCTCAATATTTCCCTAGCATCCTTTATAATATTATCATCCAATCTACGTCTAGGTTGAGTGTAGCTCTGTCTTTACATAACCTAAAAATCGATAATTTTGTTATTCCGTCCGTCAGTATTTGACTTAAACAGTTGATACCACGTCGTTGAATAATCCATCATCTAATTTTTGCTCCTCCCTCGTTGCAAGAGCGCATCCCACAACACAGCAGACCGGTTGCTAGGCAGATCTCCCCTCGGACGGATATGTAAACCAGCGATCGTCGTCGCGACGGTGGAAGGAATCGAGACGGGAAGAGCAAAACTGTGTCGGTGTGACGTCACCCTCACCTCTTTCATAACCACACGAGGGTAAGACGTAAGATATCTGCAGTTCCACGCCTAAGTAACAGGACCGCAACATCTGCAGTCGTCCATTGATCATTCCCCCAGTTTTCGTTTTATTTGCGTTAGTGCAGAATTATGGCGTAAGAAACTTTGAAGATATGGTAAGCTTGGCATACTTGATAACTACAGAAGAAAATCAAAATTACATTTATGACGAAATTAACAACTGATTAAATTATAAAAATGTTTGCTACTACGCAGTTCAGAAACTTTCATACCATGTTCTTTGCACCTAATCCTGAACACGTAACAAATAATATTTTACCTGGTCCATAATTTGAATTTTTACACCATTTCTGGACTATCGAGCTGTTGTGTCGTATACAAAAGTTTCTGAGGGACTTTCTGTTTCTATTTTCAGGGTTAAAGATTCGAACCTGTTATTTATGCTGCAAATTTGAAATGTAAGAAGAAGGATTGAGTCAGTATAGAACCAAAGTTTTGATGTCAATAAATGAAGCCAGAATACAATCACGGAAGAAAATTACATGACGGGAGACTGATAATCTTCACCCTGAAGACGGAGACAGAATGTTCCTCCAAAATCTTGGTATAGCCAACATACTACTAGGCGCAACGTCTCAGAAGACAACCATCTATAAATCCTTGTCTGTTTACCATTCGTTTTCTTCTGTAAATCTCATTCGCCTAAGCCAGAGGTTCTCTGCTTCAAGTCGCTTCCGATATGAGGGTCATAGAATTCCGGGCCAAAGTCGCGAAAGAGACGACATAGTATGTGCAAATATTATTATGTTCAACCACATTTTTGTTGCATCTGTTGGATGCTGTACCACAATATTTCCATGTTATTGTATTCAGTTTGAAGCCATATTATGAAACAATTATTTCCGAACAACGCATTGTGAAAGATAAACATTTAGTTTCACAAGACGAAAGCTGTATCAACATTGAAACTGCATTTGAATTATAGCTTACAAAGAGATGCCTTCAATTACATGCTATTCGTTTATACAAACGATAATCGTTTTATGGAAATGTTTGTTCAAGGATTTTCAGTGATAACCGAGAGCCGATGAGGATAAATTTTAACTGTGGGAATTTGTCAATTTCTAACGTAGACTAGGGGTGTTCGAGAACAAATTTCTGAGGAGAATATTTGGACCCAAAAGGGAGGAAGTAGCAGGAATACCTGCATAATGAATGTCGTAACAGATATATCCAGCTTTTAATAACTGACGCTGACATCCAGGATGCCAAACTCCACTCATTCATCTTCGTCCAATGTCCGCCTTCCTGTTCTAGTCCTTAATTCAGTCTGGTTATTCGTACCAACTTCTTTCTGGCCAATCTTTTCATCTTTTTCTGTCGGTGACAAATTCATTGTTATTTCTGATAACACTATTAGAGTGGCGTGTTTTAAAGTTTGGGAGGATTGTATTTTGAGAGGATAATATTAAAATGTATCTTCGAGAAATAGGGCTTGAGGATGAGGACCCCAAATAGAGTCGTTAAAAACATGGTCGAATCACGGGTTTGTGTGAAGGTGAACATTCATAAAAACTGAAAATTTCTTAACTATTAAATATGTCTTTCAAATTGAGTTTTACTCCCACTATACTTCCTCAGCACGCCTAAAACATCATGTTGTAGAGGGACAGCTTTTACCATTTCGTAAATGTTATTATGTCCAATGCGTAGGCGAGCCATTATTTTAGACTATCTGGTCGCTCACGTAATGAAATAAGTGTCAGTTGAGTTGTGATGTCTAACGATGAGTGACAAGTACGACTCCCTCGTTTGTCGCAGAGCTGTTGTCTTGACAACCACGTAGTCTGTATACACAGATTTTAAGGAAATTGCATATTTTGCTTCCTTCCATAATGTCTTATTTACGCAGTTTGTTCTTGTTTTATGCAGGAGGGATCCTTGGCGAAGCTGCCCAAAATGTCAGCATTAGGAAGCGTCTGGACCTGGGAGACAAGGAGTGCACCTTTGATCCCAAGGAGGGATTCAGTTTTGTTAACCTCTTCAGCTTCCATTGTGACTATCCAGAGCAGCTTTCAGGTTTCCCACTTAAGTTTGAAGTCTATCAGACTCCGGACCCAAGCCACCCAGAGACAGGTGAGATAAGTTATCATGATACCTTAAAAGCATTCTTAAAACTTTGCATACCATGTAGTGTATTAGAATATAGAGTAAACAGAACCAACAACTATTGACCCTATAATAGACACTATTGCTATACGCGTTTCGACCTCAAGAGGTCATCACCGTGGGTTCTGGAGTTCACAGGTACAGACGCAACTATAGCTCGCAGAAACCAGCTACGGCCACTGCACAGCGGGATCAATAGGTAAGTGCAAGTTTTACTCCTGTGAATAGCAGCATCTAGTGCAGTGTCAAACATCTTGTCAAATACCTTTTCATTTTTAATTCTGAATCTAGTTTGAACCATTTGACTATATGTATTTCCCTGATGCCACTGACGATGACCTCTTGAGGTTAAAACGCGCATGGCAATAGTGTCTATTATAGTGTTAATAGTTGTTGCTTTTGTTTACTCTATATTTTAAAAGCTTTCATTATCTCTTCTTTCTCCTCCTCTCTTCTGTTTTATTTTCACACTTCTCTTATTCTCTTCATTTATTGTTTTCCTCTTATTCTTTTCTATCTTCCCTTGTCTCTTCTCTTTTCTTCTCTCTTCTCTTCTCATTTGTTGAACAAAGCACCAAAGTCAGTCTGACTGTAAACTTTCTATTCATCACCATTTCCAAATTACTCATACATGTTATATTCAGGTGCAGCCATTGTAACAGATGGAACATCATATACACATGAAATAATAACTTATCATTTTTTGACGTAAAT